ATGGGTGTTTTCTTAGACAGTATTTAGTTTAAAGGAAATAATCTCAAATTTAGTTCAAAAGGACATTGACACAGGTATAAAATGAAAGGAATTATTTTCTTCCAACCAAATTGTGTAACTGATATCATATTTACCATTTATATTTAATTTTTCAAATGGTCATTTGAGAATTTTATCTCTTCTATATAAGGATCTGTGTTTAAACAGTGATCATCCAATTGTTAGAGCTCATGGATGCTTTCTTCAGTTCTAGATTCTGATCCTGTTTGAACTGTTGACTCACATTTTAATCCCTGGCCAAACCTTCTTGTACCTCCATAATCCCAGCTGGAAAATTAGGTAAAATAAAAACATGACCTCATTAAGAAACAGATGCTTCATCTGAGCACTTCTTTCCCAAGTAAACACATTACAGAGCTTCTGGTAACTTTTTTTAGGATGTGGTTCTGTGTCCCCTTGACCATTGGTCAGTTTAGGATCAGGAGACAGGAGTTTGAAATTTAGTTTAATTCGCAGACCAAAGTTCAGAAAAACAAGCAGTTTCCTTCCTGAGGTTAATAGTGTAAGTCAGCCATAACTGTACAGCAATACCTAAGTTGAATAGGAAGCCTGCCTACCAGTTTCCCTTAATGTGTCCTGACCCCTCAACTTGTTATCACTGATTTTCCAACAGTGAATTCATTGATAAATTTAAAGAGACGCGATGTTCTTTAAATCTCTCTTGGGAATTCAAAAATGAAATTTATTTAACAAAATACATAACCTATGTACCAATTTAAAACGAAGATTGTCACACTGGAAGAATATTCAAATGACCAATTGTTTGCTATTTCTACAAGAACAATATAACTGAGAATTGATACTAGGGACTTTGCTTTGACATAATGCACCATTAAACTTATTTCATTAGTATAATTCAGGAAAAAAAAAACTCTTTCTTGATCTTATTTTGTGGGGTGGGTACTTATTAGCACGGCTTTTGTATGTATTAAGAAGAGATGGATATTTCCTAACAAATTATACCTTGACTTTTGCTGGTGACTTCAAACATCAAAATTTATTTTGAAGTGTGGGAACACCTCACATTTTTCCCAAAACGTCTCTTGAGTCTCTCAGAAAATACTCATGGATTAGATAGTTGTATTATTCTGGAAATTTCACTCTGGCTTCGATCTGTCACTCCCTCCCCAATTTATTTTGAGACCATTATCAAGTGAATACACTATATTAGACTGTTTAGCCTTTCATTACCTCAGAATATCAGGTGAGAAGTTTCCAATTACATCAAGAATTAAGGATTCTCTACAAAAGATAGCATTGTAAACAGAATTGCCCAAGCAAACTTCTTTTTGATGTTTTGCATGTCTGCTAATTACAAATGGCTCTAAATACAAATACTATTTCTTCCCCAAAACAATACTTTGTGATATTTAGCTGAAGCCCCAACAGTGAATGGCTGCCTCTAAATCTCCCTCCACCTTTACTCTCACTAGTTTTCACTCCTTGTTTTACTGAAAGAGCTTTCTCAAAGATCTTTTTTAGCTCCCAGTTCTCCCCACTCTTCTGTTCCTACTTTGTGACTCTGGAGAAGGAAATAACTTCATCTCTTCAAGGGCATGAATTGCCTTTCTCTGAGTTTCTTGATTCCATTCCTATGTCCCTTCCACCAACCTTGCTGCTGTGTATTTCTCTAAAAGCTCACTGTGAAATACAACGTAATGAAAACAACAAACTCCTTTAGTGTTTTAAACGCTTTCTCCAACACTTCTTCAGATGCTCCAGGAGCTGTTTCAGCCTCTGCGGCATGAATGTCTTAAATCCCATCTGTGGGTGATGCTGCTGGGGCCTGCCTATTTCAGAAATCCTTCATCTCCAGTCCACACCATTCATTATGAACAATCCCATAAATGATTTATGAGCAAATTTCTCCCTGAAAAGGCAGATGTCTGAGACACTTAAGTCCATCCTGTATGATAAGTCTAAATTTTGATTCACCTTTGCGACTGTTTGAAATACACAGTTGTCAGCTGTGATGTTATATTTTAATTTCCTAGAGTCCAGATTTCCTGTATTAGTAAGCATCAGGGTCATAGTGTGAACTCTCATGTAAGCTTCCTTTTAAAGTATCTTCATGCTAGTATGTGGATCTTGTCATTTCAGGGTTCAAGGATATTGGAAAATTTAAGACTGACATTAGACATCTTAGCAAAACTGATAGAGGACTCATATTTTTAAAATTCTACTCCATTTGCTGTTCACATCCTTTAGTATGTGTGTCACATCTTTCCTGAAGAGCATCCAAGCATTCCTCACATTGATCTTCCTTTTCAATTTCCATCCAGCTCCTGAGGGGAAGTCACATGGGTCTCTCACTGTGACCTGGTTCCAGCCACTCTGGAACTCACTGCCTGTTTCAGGGGTGCTCACATGTTCTTCCCATTGCCTGTGACTCTCCCTGCTCTAGAGAGAGTCTGCCTCTCCCAGCCAGCTCATGGGCTTACCCCATGGAGAGCAGAAGGCTCATTTGCTCTTTCAGTTAACCCCCACGCAGTCCATTTCTGCCTGACTCTGGGGATCTTAGAAAATTCACATCTCTTTTCAGCTTTAGAGGAGTGTGGAGCTAAGATTTGTTCATGATCAGCATGGCAATCTTCTCTGGTACAATTTCTTAGATGTAACTTTAGTGGCAATTGAGTTACTGGGAATTGAAATGGAGAAAACTATGTTATATGCATTCATGAATATGTCAGAATGAACTCCATTCTTATGTATAACTATGATGCCTTAAAATTAATAAATAAAAAGATTCTATGGATTAACTAGTAAATTTGGGTAGCAAAAAGAAAATATCACAATATGATGCCACATAGCATGTCAAATGATCCATTAAATTATGCCATCTTAAAAGTAAGATGCCTTGCTGAAATAGTTAAAATGTTTTACATTTATATGCCTTGCCCCTCTATATGAAAGAAAAAACCAAGGTACTTTCCCAGCCCCTCAAAGTGAATTTGATGTTGGCCATACGGCCTGTATTTTAAATCAGAAATCTAAAATCTAGCCTCCAAATGAAGTGAAAATCCCTTGATGCAGTAATAAAACTGCATATGGAAAGTGCTATTTATATCAATTTGAAGGAAAAGGCTGTTACTCCATTTAATGCATATGGATATCTTATGAAATAGAATGCAAAAATCACATTTTTCAAAATAGAAAATCTGGATTCAAATATATATTGTATTACAGAGGTTACTTTGGGCCACTTTTCCTTTTTTCTCTTATGTACCAGATCAAAAAGTTAAATATAAAATTTTTCCACACAACTCCCACAGTGCAAGCTGATAAAGCTTCTACCTTGAAAAAGTTCAGGATCTGTGCAATGGATTCTCAATGAGTGTTTGTTTGACAAAATGACTTCCAGTAATTTTAAGGAAGATTCTGTTTTTCTGTGGTCTGTGATCCTAAAAAATCTTAACACACTACTCAAAAATTAGATGGTCCCTCCTAATCTGCCTTTGCACGTTATCCAGGACATACTTTATAATGTCTGATGCACATTCATGCTTTTGTCCAAACAAACTGAGCATAACAGTGGGAGGGTTTTCCAGAGAGACCTTGCTAGCCTCATAAATACTGTTGAAGTCAATTACCAAATAAATAGCATAAATATGTGGCGACTTGGAAGGTCACCGAGCCCTAGTCACTTAATTTCAGCCACAACAGCAGTCAGCTGCTCAGTGAACAATTTTATTATGAGGTGTCAGTGATTTAACAAGTTGGCCAAAAGTAGTCGGAATGCAGCATGAAAGATTTCCTCTCTGTTGAGTTTGACCGTGCATGCTGGACTCCTGATAGAATGGCCCAAGTTTCTGTACTTGGCACTCAGGAACCAAAGGAAAATGAAGGAATCAATTTGCTCTATTATATTCTACATGCTTTTCAGTGGGTTTTATATGATTCTACAAAGCTTTGCTAAAAATACTGATAGGGTAATTTGTTGCCTACTTTTTAGAGTTTCTGCAAACTGCTAGAACTGCTTACCTGAGGTTTTTTTTTTTTTTTTTTTTTTTTTTTTTTTTTTTTAAGTAACCTTTTAGATATATTGGGGAATGTCAATTTATCCTTAGACTGCTTGAAAATTGGTTGAGCCTGGTTGGGAGATTTAAGCACAAGTACCACCTGGCTGATCAATCACACCCCAGTATCTATTTGCTTTGCAGTCTCGAACACTCCATCAAGGGCATCTTGATCTTTCAAACATTTCTTAAATGGAGATGAATATACTTTCAAAATAAGCCATTTATTTGTGAGACTAGTAATCAGTCACAGCTCCCTAAATAACAAAAATAAATGAAGGTATGAAGTAAGCTTACATTTTCATGGAACCTAAAAGCTACTCATTTTCCTTCTCTGTCTTTGCCTCTCTGGTACAACTCACATAAATACTTATGTACTTGACCAAGAAAATAAATCTCTGACATTCAAGAACCATCTCTCAAGGGTCTGCAACTTGCATGGCATTAAGTTAAATGCAAAGGTTTCAACAGAGAATTGGGGACAGATGCACTTTGATCTCATGGGGCTTAGGGTTGATCAGAGAAGGCAGAAAATTAGACAATCAAAATAATATGTGGTGAGGGCTATGACATAATCCCACAGTTGCCTTGCAAATTCTAGATTCTAAATAAGGCTTTGTTTCTATGTGTCTTTGAGCATATGTGAGCCATATGAATTATGGGAATATCCATTCTCAAATTTTTCAGTTTTCTTCCAAATGTTCACCCCAAGTAATGGTTCCACTAACTATACGCAGCTTTTATTTCTCTAGAGTACAGTCTTTGGGTAAGAAAGAAATTAAAATGAACTAATTTATAATTGGGGAACAAAAAAAATCAAGTGTCAGCATAATTGTCAGGGAGAAATAGAAATGCAAAACCACTCATCATTGGCACTTCCTTTATTCTTTCCCACATTTGTGCCTTCTCTGTTCTCTCCCTTAGGACATCTACTTGGCCTCTCCCATGACGATTCCAAATTCTGTGAAGAGAACTTTGGTTCCACAGAAGATAAGCGCTTAATGTCTTCCATCCTAACCAGCATTGATGCATCCAAGCCCTGGTCCAAATGTACCTCAGCCACCATCACAGAATTCCTGGATGACGGCCATGGTATGTATCCTTCAGGACAACAGAGGCTCAACGGAAGAAAGCTGGGATTCTTAGGCACTTTACTTTATTGCTTTCCCATAATGTTCATTTTGGTTGTTTAGACAGTGTCAAAATAGGAGCAAGGAAATTGATTGTCTGTTGGTGTGTAATGCCAGCATCCCTGGTGGCTTTATAGCTATGGTATTTTTGCTTTTGAATTGTAAAGTTCAAAAGAGAAAAAGTGTGGGAGACCACACAGAATGCCTAGCGGGTGCCCTGAAAGCCTGGCTTTTATTCCCTCTCTCACCACTGGCTTCCTGTGAAAACTTTGGCAGACATCTTGGTTTGCCTGCTATTAATACGACTCTCAGAATTATTTGTTACATGCCTATTACAGGGGTGTGGTTTAGGTGTAGGTGACAGTTCTACCGGATTCTCTTTATGGCAACATAAAACCCGCAAAGGAAGTGCTCTAGATTTTCATTGACTGGAAGAATTTGATTTCATTCTGACAGCAGATTCCCCTGAAAGTAGAATAAAAACTGCAGAACAGAAACAGAAAAGGAATCTAAATCATGGGAAAGCACTTTAAAACTTCAAAAGAAAGTCTTTGACTTTATCCTTTAGAGACAGTTCAAGAACATAGTACACTTTATTAAATCTTTAAGACTAGGATTAGAGCTGTAAATTATATAGAAATAGAGGAAGTTATAATTTTTAGAAATAATAAATCCTAGCCCCGAAATAATCTCTGAAACAATCTGTTGCAAATTTTCTCACATCCTTTATTACTTAAAATTAATAGGAAATCAGGAGGGTGGACACATGAGCATCAAGGAGAGATCTTCAGATATCATATATTTCACTTCACATCATCTACTAAAAAGGACATATTCTTCATTTTTGCCCTTTTAAAATCCATCTCTTTCTAAAATCGGTGCTTAAATCAAATATCATAATAATTTTTCATAAAGTTACCTTATGGTGTATGGTTCAGCATCTGTGATGATGGCATTTCCCAGATCCACAAAGTTTATAACTTATTATATTTGTAATTTCTTAAGAGTGTTAGGCATCTTGAACTTTGGCCACACAGTGTCAAAATGAGGATAATTAAATTCATTTCAGACAGAAAGAACTTAAGCCACACAGTTCTTTGATATTATGTAGCCAGAATCTGCTCATTTATTCCTTCCTTTTACATCACTGATGAACTCTGAAGCCTTTTGCTACTTGCTGCTATTTACATTATCTATCCCTAAAACTAACCTGAGTCCAGCTTGGTGTAAAATTCCTCTCAATACAAAATAAATGTTGTTTGTTAGTGAAAGGTCAGCCTGATAACTTACAAACTTCAGACTAGACTAGAAAACAATATATTAGGCTTTTCCTTTAGACTAATAATAAAATGAGCATTTATGTTTTACTCATTAACAATGCTGGTTAGATGCTGATAAAGTCCTAAAATAAATGTTTACCTAATTCTTTTATCTACATGGATCAAGTCAATATCTGATAAAGTCTGTCTTCAGTGGAACCTTAACACTTCACCCCTAATATTACTTTTGCTGTTTTATTTTTTTCCTGAGAATGAAATAACATTAATATCTAATTTCAGAATCACACTTTGTACATTCCAAAAGGTTGAGCTAAACCTTGACTCATTAAATGAATGGATTTAGTTGCTAAGGCAGCAAATACTTATGGCTAAAATGGGACCATTTTTTTTTTCCTGAACAAGTATTAGGTCAACTAATTACAATGCTGTGCAGAATTTTGTTCCTTAGTGCCATAATTTTGGAATGATTCGTGTATTTCATATTTTGAAAATCATGATCTTATTTTCTGTGCAGTAAATAGGCTTTCAGCACTGTCTTCAACTTTTAACATTATTTCTGTATTTAAAGAAGTTCATACTCTGAATTTTAACAGTTGTACAACAAATTTACATTTTTTTAATCTCTGCTTCTGTTCAAAAGGACTCTTGATAGAGAATGAGAACATAATTTTAGTAGACATAGATCTTCTTCAATTGTACTGATTAAAATTTCTGAATTTTCCAGATGTATGTTAAATAAACATATTCAGTTATTAGAATTCTTTGAGCAGAAAATTCTCAGTTTATGTATTGACTTTTTTCATCAAACTTAGATTCTCTTATTTTTGAATACATTGTTTTGGTTAGGCAGTGTTTTATTCTAGCCAAAACAAAGAATTCTATTTTATGAATCACATATAACAATTAAAGTAATTTCAGAACAATGAAAAATAAAAGAGAGTAGTGTGGAACAGTGGCTAAGCTAAATTATGTCTCATTTCTTCTAAAAATAGCATACACATAATTGAAGCTCGTACACTATAGTACTGTTATTTAATTGTGAATTCAGATTAGTTTAATTAACTTTTTAATTGGGACTCTCTAAACTGATTTAAATCATTGAAGTGCAAAAGCAGCCACAGGAATTAAGAAACTCAATTTCTAGATGATTGAGGTTCTGACATTTGAACTAAGGCACTTAGGAGCAAACCAAGGAGAATGTCAAAGCTCAAGGAAGGAAGAAAAATGAACTTATATTTTGTCTAAAGATCAAAGACTTTAGGATCCTTGTCACAAAACCTTTCACTTTACTCCTAGGAAGCTATGCAGGCTTCCAGTCAGATGCCTGTTATTCATATTTTACACTTTTACTGTTTTTCTGCTCTAATTTTCTAGGACATTAACAATGTTAAGCAATAAAATAGTTGTGGGGGATGGGGAAGAGTTCAGATAGGTAAACTGAGGGCAAGAAGTAGCACTGTTTAACAATAAAAAAGAAACAAAAACTGTAAAATATAGCCCAAAACCATAAAATGTCCAGTGGTCTGACACCATTTTCCAAAAGGTCAAAAGTGCTACCACATTAGAATTATCCCTAAAGTTACCTCTATATTTTGGCATGATGCAATAAATTCAGAAAAAGAATGATTTTTCAGTTATTGAGGAAGGCTAAATGGTAAAACTAGTATAAAGACTGAAAAGCAATTGTTAATTTTTAAGTAGGTAATTCTCAATTATACAAAATGTGTGTAATTGTGTCTGTGTGTATGTGTGTTGCTGAGGATTGAACCAAGGACCTCATATATGTGAGGTTAAAACTTTATCACTGAGCCACATCTCCAGACCCAAAATGTGCATAATTTTTGATGGTATCTTGGTATCTAAAGATTACTTTATCTGGAACAACCATCCTATATAATATCTTATCCTTCCCTTCCCACCTCCAAAAGAGCTGGAGACATGAGAAACTAAATTCGAAGCACTTGATTTATTTTACAATTATTAGCTATAAGTGGCTGGACATTTGTAGCACTCAACCACTGCCAAACTTAAATTCATTAGCACTGAGTGTTTCCTGATTTAGATCCAACAAGAAATATGCAGCAATTAATTTATGGTTGAGAAGCCAATGTGCACACTCAAAAGTAGCTGTCTCTGGAGATTGGTGATTCAGAAAGGAGTAGCCATGTCCTCTGGTACTCCTCTATGCCTGGCCAAGAGACTTGCAGAAGTCCTGAGTGTTTATACCCATTAGTTCTAGGCAAGCTGGCCGGGAGTGTGCTCTTCTAAAATAAAGGTAAGCACTGCCAGAGAAATTGTGCAGTGAAAGCAGGTTATTGAATTTCCTCTCTCCAATGCTTAATAACCTTGAGGCCAAAAAAGATAGCTGTGTTTGCTGTATCCCCGAGTCCACAGTGCCGGATGATGAGAAAGGCCACCACCCAGGTAGGGACAGCTCAAGATCACCCGCAACACAGGCTGCTAAGAAGAATCTGCAGACATACTTAAAATATTAACATGTAGCTTATTTTAAGAGCAAAGTTTATAGTCCCTCACTGAACATTGAACTTTAGATAGAAAAAATGGTTTTGGAAAACCAGGTCTCTGAATCCTTTGCCAATTTTACAGCTTATCTGATTATATAATTTAGCATAAGAGCTCAACATTCAGTTTTTAAGGTAGTCTTAGTAAAATTCAAAGTCACTATGGTTGTACCTTGATTTTCACAATAAATGTTCTTTAAAAGGAAATGCAAATAAGACATCTAAGGCAATGGTGACCTATATTTTTCAAAAGCTTTGCTTCCCCCTTTTGATTGGGGAGTTTTCAATCTTATTTCCTTGCCATTCCATCTGCTGAGTGTGCACCTTATGCCTCTAACAGCTTCTCAAACAGACTTTAGAGTTACTTTAGGTCAGTGCCCTTTGTTCTTTTCTCAATGCCCTTGTTCCGTTATCTGCCTCTATCTCCCAAATGACTCATGGAATAGCAGGCAAATGCACCCATTTCTCTTTTAATGTCACACATTTCAGCTAAGACCTGAAAGAAAAAGCACAAAGACATAGAGATGAAGTAGGAAGCAATGAGACAGCATATGAAGTCCTGTTGGGCCTCTTTGGATGCTTCAGTGGGGACAATGATTTCTTCTATGCCATGGCTATTTGGGGGTTAATTCTTAATTTTATGCCTGAGTATTGAAAGGATGGAAAGATTGAAATAACTAAAGTGCTAGAATTACAGAAGGAAAGTGAAAATATAAAGAACAGCAACGTTCATCTGATAATTCCCATGCAACATTTATATGAAAAATGAATAGTGCTAGAGGTTAGGTATGTAAAACCAGAGATCACCTGGAGGGAAGGACTATCTTCCACCCCATTGGTGGACCTCAGTGGCCAGATGGAAACAACCACATTCTTTCTGTGTCTATCTCAAATCACCTTATTTCACTTTTTTTTAATCTTTTGCCTTATTTTAAACATTTAATTCACCATGGACAGTAAAAATTTATGAAATAGGCACATATTTCTATCAACTTTGTTTTATAAACTATCCATTTTACATACACAATATGTTAAAGCTAAGAAAAGAATGGAAGAAGAGAGGGAGGCAGGGACAAAGAAGCAACTTGGCAGTTTGTGGGACAAACAACAACAACAACAACAATATCATCAACAACAACAACAAAAACAGTAACTGTTGGTAGCAAAGCCCAGATAGAATTTCAGACTAGGATAAATTTATGAAATAGATATGAAAAAGTGACTGAGAATAAAAGATTAAGAGGAAGTCAGCAGTAGATAGGGTGCCTATAGAAGTCAATGAAATGATACTGAAAAATTGATCAGTTTCCTTTTCCCCTCAACTATGCATTTTGAAAAGTGAAAAATGTGTATCTAATCCATTATTAATTAAATTTTAAACATTTTATACCATGAGATTAAGAATCAGGCTGTATAATGACTTTGTTGTTGTTCCCTGGAATGGGTCTGCCATTTAGTAGAGATGTCCATACTATTTTATTGCAGAAGGACATACATCAACTTTTAAAAAGGACATCTATAGACTGTATGACTCAGAGTATGCAGAAATGGTACAGTAACATATTCTAAGACAGAGAACATGGTGGTAATAAGTTAGCTATGTCGATCACTTGATAAAAAGAATTTTTTTTTTATTTTCAAAGGTTATCTCCACACAACCTCTAAGGAAAACGATATACCTATTTCTTAATAGCAAAGCAAATGTGTTCTTGCTTTTCAAATTTTATAATTTCTGAATTAAGTGTCATGAAGAGAACACACATCTTGAAGTCTCCTTGTTGTTGGCTGATTTCAAATAGTTTTCCCTCTATCGGTCTCTTCACTCATTATCAGCTGATGAGGTAGAGTCAGTGTCAGTGACTTTGCAACCATAGTGAGTTTGCGACTCATTTTGCCTCCAGATAAGTAAAGTAGACCCGTGCCACATGCATTCACACCTGGTAAAGACTTCCCAGATAATATTTAGTTACCCAGTCCCAAGATCTGTGCTTTTGAGTAAAAATTTTTAAAAGTTTCTTAAGACAGCACTTTTGAGGAATTGGAAAGCGTTCTTGCTGATTCAGATTTGTTGACAGTCTTCTAACATCAGCAGTCTGCTAAGCCATTCTGGTTTCCACAGCGTGCTTTTTCCATCTAGCAATGAAGATAACGCTCTCCGTGGAGTTCTGAAGTGCCTCATCTTGGTCCTGTAAACAGAGCTTAGTGAGGTTTTCCTGTCATTCTTTCCTATTGACTTGATGTGGATGTTTTCCTTTCAACTTGATGTTTTTCCCACACATTCTCTTTGGCAGGCCTTTTAATTTTAATGCTTTTTCTGGGTTCCCTTCAGAAGCTTTACCTCTTCAAACACCCTGGCTCAGAAGTTAAATGGGAACTTCGCTCTTTATTCATTTTCATATAATGCCTCCATCACAGATGGACAAATTCTAAGGTATTCACTTTGAAGAAACCTGAGTGTCGCTGTAAAAACATTTGCAGAACACTTAAGAGGGGTTACTTCTCAATAAAAAATAAGGATTTGAATTTGTTGAATCAAAAGAATAACACATCTAAAAGGTTGACAGATACGTTGGACAGAGAACTATCTATCTTTGTTTCCTATTTTTCTGGTCTACCTTTGTATCTGTGTTTGCCAATTTTACCTTTAGACTGTTACAGTGAGGAGAGACACATTTTTTCATAGTGAATTAGGGAGAGGTTAACTTGCCTTGGCCAACAGCACTCACCTTGTTAGTGTTTCACCAGCCTTAGAGGGTAGACCAGGTGTTTGTCCCGTTAGCTTAGCTGCCCTTCAGTAGCAACATTAGACAGCTCTCCACATGCTTGCAGAAGACAAAGTGGCATGCGATGAGAAGGGCAGATTCTAGGCATAAGACCCTAATTTAAGTTTTGTGGCCTTGGGTAAATTATCTGCCTCTTATGATCCTCAGTTCTCTTGTCTATAAAGTAAGCAAAATAAATGAAACTGCCTCATAGGGTTCTTGTGAGGATTAAATAAGTTATTACATGTAGATAACTGAGAACAGTGTGTGGAACAAATGTTCGTTATTGTTTTTATTGCCTTTATCATCAGTGTATAAATCTAAAATTAAGTAAAAAAAAAGAATATAGAAATAGATGGGCAGTATGCATGCATGTATGACAAAAGAAGATAAATAGAGTAAAGCTCACTGGGCAGGGATTCTCAGGGAAGCATTTTGGGGGGAGAAAGCACTGTTTCACCTGTGGATCTGCTTCATCTGTGTCCCACCTTCTGTAGACTCTCACCTCACCCCTGTTTGCCTGTGGCCACCCTGATCCCTAATATTTGCAGTAAGACACTAGTGTGGTTTCGACAGATATACTCCAAACACCCAACAGATACCTGTTCTCAAAAGAGTAGACACCAAAGAAAGAAAAAGAAGAGTCAGAAGGCTGGCCTAGTCCTAAATTGTCAAAAATTGTTTCTTTTCTTCTCTCATCACTCCTTTATTCTATGAATCTTGAAAGAATTTCATTCAAATTTCATCAGTCTGAAAGGAACACTACTTTTTTAGTCTCTTTCATTTTATTGGGAGAACTTAAGGGGTAGATGTGGGTCATTTTTTTTCCATATTCTTGATTGTAAGTATGCTTTCTAGAACATTCTAGGTACTAAGCAAATGCTTGTTCAGTGAGTGCTACAATAAATGAGGTACGAACTTGACTATAATGGAACTAGTGGAAAGGAGGCATGGGATAAACACATAGGGATAAGGTAAGTGAGAAATAGATATGGGATGTAAATAGAATGCCAAGGATGAATTCTGTTTCTCCGAGTTGTGGAGGATTTATTGTTGCTATTAAGTATGCTATCAGATTTCCTCGAGGTCCATCCTAATTTTCTCTTCTTTTGGTGTTTCAGCACAACGGATATTTTCAAACTATTTCAAATAATTTCGTGTACTTATATGCTGCCAGCCCCACCTCCAATACAGGCATTCCATTACATGCATCACCCACGAAGGGTGATAGAGGGCACTGCTGAGTCCCACCCTTGCGGCTTCCAGAGTCCCTTTTCCATGGAGATTTTGGGTGCACAGTGCTTTGGCCTTATCTGGAGCCTTTAATTGTTAGATCTCCCCTTTTAGCGATGTGAAACCTAAACTTATTACGGAGGTCAATTTCCGTCGTTCTTTTAGGTAACTGTTTGCTAGACATACCACGCAAGCAAATCCAGGGCCCTGAGGAACTCCCAGGACAGACCTACGATGCCACCCAGCAGTGCAACCTGACATTCGGCCCCGAGTACTCAGTGTGTCCTGGCATGGACGTCTGTGCCCGCCTGTGGTGTGCCGTGGTGCGCCAGGGCCAGATGGTGTGTCTGACCAAGAAGCTGCCGGCTGTGGAAGGGACACCCTGTGGGAAGGGGAGAATCTGCCTGCAGGGCAAGTGTGTGGACAAAACCAAGAAAAAATACTATTCAGTAAGTGGCCACCCAAATCCCTGAGACCTCGCATGAGATGTGTGTGGGTACTGTCATAGAGGGCTTCTTGGTTAAAAGATTCTTCCTTTCTGATCTATATAAGTTTCATTTTTTGCCTCATTAATCAAACACTGGAGAATATCTGACAATAGGTATTTCTTTAGGAATTTTAGCCATTCACATGTAAATAAATGACCAAGTATCTGTCAAATTGAGACACCAAGTAGGGCCCCAGAACTCATCTTTTGGAAGCTCACTTTTAAACTCCTCTTGCTAAGATTCCAGATACATTTATTTAAATTTAGTAAGTAAATAGTAGCAGAGTCAATGCCATGGTCCTTATACGTATTTGGCAAGCTCCAAACGGTCATTTTTCTTCCGTTGATAGCAAGTTCATCTAACTTTAGGGATTGCGGTAACCTCTGGCTGCTCTGGGGAAATAGGTTTGCACTAAATGCACAGTCCCAGCTTCAGGTCACAAACTGCCTCCTTAATCTTCAAGGCCAGATCATGCTGAGTGTTCACTCTCACTTGGAAGATTTTGCCAAGTCCCAGAAGAATGCTGCTTTGTATTTATCACCTGTGTTTCTACAGGCTGTCACATAGAAAACATTTGTAGAATGGGTTCCTAGTCTTTAACACTGTCAGATACCCCAACACAGGCAGCCAGAGGTAGTTCTGCGCACATTCCCTGGACAAAATAATGTGAAATATTTTTCCTTTCTGAATCTTTCAGCTTCATCCCACAATGTTTCCAGGGGACTGGACCTAGGTTGTCATTACAGAGCTCTTCCTTCCCTATGGGTACATGCAAGTAGGGTACAGGTGTCCTTCAGTTTCTGTCACATCTAATTAGGAATCATCGAAGCCACTGAAATACATTTATGTATGGATCAGAGTCTGTCACAGACAGAATGCATGATATCATCAGAGGAACCCTAGAGCTTCAGAGCTAAAGAGGGAGAAAGACACGGACTTGCAATCACAATTGAACAATGCCGGGCCTCCTGCAAAGCTATCAACATTGTGCACTTTATCAAAGACCGGAGATCAACATGTACAGAAAGAGAACATGGTCCAGTGGTTACCAACAGAGTTGTACAATATCAGAAAGCATAATTTAAAATGTCTCATAGAAAATAGAAGACGCTCTTTGTGGTATCTTAGTATTTAGTAGGATGCATTAGATCCTCTGGCACTGGATGTAAAGGCTGGGAAAGATGAATTGCTTAGAATTGGAAATGTGTTGCAATTCCAGAGCACGATCATGTTCAATTTGATGAAAATGTAACTGTCATGAGGTTTCCACTTTCTCATTATATGCAAGTGATTTCTAAAGTACCTTTTGAATGTTTTCCTCCTGAGTTTAAAAAAAAAAAAAAAGAAAAGAAAGAAAAGCTTCTCTTTTTTATTTCAGACATCAAGCCATGGCAACTGGGGGTCCTGGGGACCCTGGGGCCAGTGTTCTCGCTCATGTGGGGGAGGAGTACAGTTTGCCTATCGCCACTGCAACAATCCTGCACCCAGAAACAGTGGCCGCTACTGCACAGGGAAGAGAGCCATCTACCGCTCCTGCAGTGTGATGCCCTGCCCACCTAATGGTATGTTACTCTGCGTCAGTAACTACCCTGTGCCACAAGTGTTTGAACTCTAACAGAAATAAACAGGAGAAACTAGGGAAATAACGTTTATTTTAGGCTGCACAGTTCCACTAGTATGCAAATCAATAACAAATATGTGAGTGATTTTAAATTATTTTTATAAACAAGTTAGTGTATTCAGGGAACTGGAAGATAATGATCCTACAGACAGAAGTGGAAGACAATGATATAAAATCTTTCAGAGTGGATGCATAAAGAAGCTCTGTGATAAAGTTAGCATCATCTCCTTAAAATTAATTATTTAAATGCACAAGATTAATATGTAAGACTCAGAACAGGTCAAGTGTTAAAGTAACATGTTTTGTTTCCTAGGTAAATCTTTTCGTCATGAGCAATGTGAGGCCAAAAACGGCTACCAGTCTGATGCAAAAGGAGTCAAAACATTTGTAGAATGGGTTCCCAAATATGCAGGCGTCCTGCCAGCAGACGTGTGCAAACTGACCTGCAGAGCCAAGGGCACTGGCTACTACGTGGTCTTTTCTCCAAAGGTAACTACACACTGGCTGTGCAGATGCAGGAGGTGTGCTTGGTGCAGATTGTTTGGTAGAATGAAGGCTGCAGGTGCCAAATGTAAATAGTCATTATTTTGGGGGTGGTTTGAATTTTGGAGATTTTTATTTTCACCTCTATAATTTTTATATTTTCAAACTTTATACAATGAATAAAAACTATTTTTCAACAGAATAAGTAAATGTTTTAAAAGCAATTTTTGGAAATTATAAATCACTGTCAGGGCAAGCTAAGTATGACCTTAACTTCAAAGTAGCCATGAAAACAACTAGTATTTCTTAGGCACATTTGCAAAAGAGAATATAAAGCAAGCAACTTTTCTATTTTTCTGTCATTTACTTAAAAATTCTTCTGCTGAGTCAGGAAGATAGGCATCAACATCATTGTCTCTGACCCAAGGTTTTGACTAAGTCTTGGATCCTTAATGTGAATCAAGTGTCCTTCAAGTTATATATAAGTTAAGTTTGTGGACATCTCTTATTTTTCCAAGATGAACATATCTGCTTAGGAAATATACTTCAGGCTTTTCTTTTTTTTCACTATTATGCAGCAACTATTAAATATTGTTTATCTATTTTGCAAAGAGGTGCTACATTTAATAATACTTCTGAAACTGGCCTTCAGAAATGTACATTATTGAAAACTAAGCTAATGTTCAATTCATGTGGCTTCTTTGAAAAATATATTTCATTTAATATGAAATAATACATTTCATTTAAAAAATAATATAGAGTTAGGTGGGGTGACACACACCTGTAATCCCAGTTACTTGGCAGGCTGAGGCAAGAGGACTCCAAGTTTGAGACCAGCCTCAGCAATTTAACAAGTCCCTAAGCAATTTAGCAAGACCCTGTCTCAAAATAAAAAAATAAAAAGGGCAGGGAATGTTGCTCAGTAGTAAAACACCCCTCCATTCAAACCCAAGTACCAATAAATAATTAGCACAGAGAAATAAAAACAAAAACATAACCTTGAAATAGCACTATATAGAGAACCATTGATCTATAGAAGTATATTCTACTTCAATTTACGTTCATGCACACCTTCACTCACATTCAGACATAAATATGAAAAGAGTTTTGTCTATACACAAACAATAAATGCAAGTTTATATATGAGCATATATAGATGTTTCTGGTATTATATATACTCACATACATAAGCCACAGTTTATATGCATATGGTTTTTTAACTAGCTTTTTAATGGCAGTTTATACTAACTCCTTTATTCAAAATAAAAATAAACTTCTTATTGAAGGTCCCAATAACCTTTGTACAACTGGAGTTGTCTCCTCCGCACACCCCGCACAACACCCAGCTACCATGATATTGTGCAGATCTGTTACCCTAAAACATAGTTGATGAAAGGATGCCTGGTTTCTATTTTAACTAATTTTCTTTTTAACAAAGCAGTTTATTCAAAAATATATTCATTCTCTTTCAGTAGTATTTTTGTGACTTCCTCATATTTTATTTTCCACATTAACGTATTTATCTTTACTTCAATGCACAATGGGGAATGCTTTTCAGCCAATCACATGGGTTTGAATAAGTTTAGATTTTCAAATGTGCTACCCTAAGAATAGTTATGCAATAAAGAAGAATCTCTGAGTCCTTAAGGCTGCTCATATTCAGTTCTCTACAGGCATGATAGTTCCAAACAATAGATGAAAAAAAAAAGTTTCAATCAATATAAAAACCAGATGATACTGTAGGAACATGTTATTCATACCAAAATAGAGATAAGTACCTAGGATGGCCTAGCACATTAAGTTGAGAAAAGGTGTCAGATCTTCTTACTGCTAACATAGCAAGGATGTTTCAGTCATAAATCCCTGAAAACTAAGTGGTTGTTTGATTTTTGATTGCTGGTTTATTTTTCAATATATGACTTATTCCAATCAAACGTAAATGAGAACTTGCTAGTTTACCAAAGGAATCAAATAGCAATGCACCCATGTTCCCACTCTTGCTGTGTCTGTCTTTTCAGGTGACCGATGGGACTGAGTGCAGGCCCTACAGCAATTCCGTCTGCGTGCGCGGGAAGTGTGTGCGCACGGGCTGTGACGGCATCATTGGCTCAAAACTGCAGTATGACAAGTGCGGGGTGTGCGGAGGAGACAACTCCAGTTGTACAAAGGTTATTGGGACCTTCAATAAGAAAAGGTAATACGATAGAATGCTTGCCCTTACGTGAGTTGAACAAAGCTTTAGACACTTGCAAAATTGATACAGGGGACTCACATTACTTCATAAGCTGTTTTTAGGGGAAGTCTGACATGGCTGTAGGAACACATTACGAATGTGAGAAGGGAAGGAGAGGAGATGAATAAAGCCCTGATAACTCAGGAGAAACTCACCGTGCCTCTGGAAAAAGATGGATGGCCACAGCTGTAGGGGTCAAGAGGACAGCACCCAGCTACCGTGATATTGTGCAGATCTGTTACCCTAAAACATAGTTGATGAAAGGATGCCTGGTTTCTATTTTAACTAATTTTTTTTTAACAAAGCAGTTTTTACTAGCCTGAGTTTTTGTTGAGAAAGCATGTCTTCTTGCAAACTGTAAGTTAATGGAAGCGGTGTGGATACCAATCCTGGTTTATAATGAATATTCTGGTTTATATCTATTCTAAAGAAAATTCATAAAACAATGTCTCCTGCATCTTTAATTGCACTTTAAATATGTAAGTGTATAAATTACCTATTTCTGGCATCAAATGTTATGCTAACAGACAGGATGGCTAACTCTAATGGAATACAGGATTATTTTTCTTCTTTGCAAAACCACTTTTTGCTGAGTGTTATTAGCTGAGTGGACCTATATTCTTGATGTAGGTGCTGTGTTATCTTTAGAGAGTGAAGCACAAACCAAACTAACTATAAGAGTTTAATTAAAAGATTAAGCATCATGTCAATATAAACACTGGAAATTATCTTTGACAAGATAAAAAAAAATGGCTAAAAATTTATTCTGGGTTAAAATATGTACCACCAATCTTACTTGATAATGAAATAATAATTAATTACCCAACTGTGTTGAACCATCTGTGTTGATAAATCCTGCACCTCCAATTATATCCTGCATTTTTATACATCTCAAAGACATGTTATAGATGATGAATTTAGCCATTTGTTTAACAAATGAGGAGACTGGCGCTATGAAAGTTTAATATGTACAGACTTCTATGTGGCTAATGGGTGTTAAGCTGAGCAGAGGCTATAACTTAAGTACAGGCCATTTTGTAATTTTAAAAATAATAATAAAGGAAGGCAGGAATGCAAAGAGGAAGAAAAGAAGGAAGGTAAGAGAAGGAGGAAAGAAAGATTTATAAACTAGATGGAGAATAAAGTTAATTTTAATAATATTTATCATAGACATATATCCTGTGTATTCTTCTACATAAAGTTTAAACTCCCTTTTAAAATGCTAAATATAGGGCGAGAGCTGTAGCTCAATGGTAGAGTGCCTGCCTCGAATGTATGAGGCACTGGGTTAGATCCTCAGCACTACATAAAAATAAATAAAGATATTATGTCCACCTACAACTAAAAGAAGAAAGAAAGAAATTAAAATTTAAAAAAGATTTAAAATGCTAAATATAACATTTTAAGTTCTTTATAGTGACAACTAAAATCTTCACATTAGATGTCACATGAAAAGATGAAGAAATTCATGATAAAGACAGATGATGTGCAGTACAACCACTTGTAAACTCGTTTGACCAAGACTACATTATATGATACAAATAATCTGTTTGAATATTCCAAATAAATTACCTAGGAGTAACATTAATCTTGGAGCTAAAATATTTGCAATTAAGCTCTAGTTCAAAACAGTAATTCACTAGCCATGTAATCTTTGAACAGTCACTTAAATTTTTTTATCATGATATTTCTCAAAAGTAGAATGGAAATAAGAGCAATCATCTTGCAATTAATGAAAGCATAGGTGAGGGTTAAATGAGGCAATACAAACTAAAATACTTCAGGTTCACACCTGTTCACAAACATGACCCCTCCTCCCTTAGCTCAGTAAATGGTGATTCAGTTACTTAAGCCTACACTTTCAAGTTGGCTATCACTTCTCATTCTCTCTCACACCCCGTATTGATCTACCCTTGAATCCTTTTGGCTTGCTTCCCACCATTTATCCAGATGTGTTGCCCTTTACCATGATTTCCTCCCCAATCACCAAGTTTTTTGTTTTGTTTTGTTTTGTTTTTTGTTTGTTTGTTTGTGATGCTGGGGATTGAAACCAGGGTCTGTGCATGCCAGGAAAGCTCTCTTCCAAGTGAGCTGTATCCCCAGCCCTCCCAGTCACCATGTCTTGCATGGCTGACCAGCAGTCTTCTCACTGATCACTCTGGCCCTGGCCCCTCACAGCCTCTTCTTCCTCCCGAGAGAAGAGTGACTGCTTTGTTACCTAATCAGATCCTGGGGTTCCTTGGTCAGTACTCTCTGATGGCCCCATGTCACTTAGTGTCCAAGACTGCATTGTCCCCTAGCCTGCTGGGTGGTGCCTCATTGACACTGGTCCTCTCGCTCTGCTCCTGATTCCTTTCAAGCAAACAACTTTCATGTATGGGCCATTTCCTCTGCCTGGCACACTTTCCCCAATTAATAAGCTGTGGTCTCTGTAGGCCTCTGTCAAATATCACCTTCCCAGATAATGGCTACACTAACGAGCAGGAAGACCATTCCCCAATCCCGCCATTACTCTGTCTTCTGACCTTGCTGAGTTTCTTTGCAGAAAATATAAGTTTTATTTAGGGGAAGGGTGAGGGGGTATGACTGCCCCCTAAAATGTCATTTCCATGACCGCATGCTAAGTATGTGAATGAATTTACTCCTTCATGACAGGCAGACACTGCTCTTGGTACTGTGCAGATAGCCCTGCACAAAACCAACTTCTCTTGCTCTGCCAGTCAGACTTTATAATTGTTAAGTGAAAACAACCTCATTTATTTATGGTAGTCAGGGAACCTGGTTGCTCTCCAGAATTTAAATGATACCCAACAGGATGTAGAGACACTGAAATATTAATCACAAGATAATGGAACCCATCTTTTAATTAGTGCCTATGAAATCGGGGCACTAATCCTCAGCCTTACCAGTGCCTTGTAAAACTCAGCTTGAAAACCTGTTATGGTGCTGACCTCACTGATTCTCAGCAAAATGAGACAGGCTCTGAGGAGCAAGATAAAAACAAAAAGCTCTCCTGCTAATTTTCTTAGCATTCAATTTTTCTTTTTCTTATATCTGGCTTAGTATCATTATAACAAGAACTTAGTTTCAGTTAACTGTTATAAAATATGGATAAGGACTTCAGGCAAGGGGACATGGTGAAAAGAACTCAAATTGGGATTCAAGAGACATGACTTCTAAGCCAAACACTGCCACTAATGAATTAGAGTGTATTTGTTTAAATACTTGAAAATATCCCTTTTTCTTAGCTTCGAATGAAAGATGACACTCCCCAACATTCTCCCTGCTGTTGTTTGAAGCCACCATGGGTTTGCATATCATTGATTGGTATTAGACACTACAAAAACAAAAAAGGTCTGGAAGAAAGGATTATGCATAATATATTTGAAAATTGAAATGATGAATCAAGCTGGAATAAGCAATATCCTCAGCCTGCATCTTCTTTCTTCAACACTGTCAGAAACTCTGATACCTACTTGGCAATTACTGTGGAACAGATGCCCAATAAACAGGGCACTTCCTTAGGATGAGCTTCCCCTTCCATCCAGATGAAATTCTGGAGCAGGGGAAAGACTTGGATTTTTAGTGTTTGGGTAGTGACCCCATAGCTTCTAACCATGAGTACGAAATAGACAACTCAATTTCATACAACTCAGTCAAACTGCACAAGGAATTTCTATTTAACTGCACCAGGAGTTTCTATTTAAATAAGTGGAAAATTATTTAAAGTAAGTAGTGGGACTACTGGTGTAGTCCCTTGGTGCTTAATTAGCATTTGTGTCCTAGCATTTGCACAGGTTTATGAGTATTAGAGATATCTGTGACTTTTTTCCCTTCTCCTAAGCAGATGGCCTAGGGACCTATCTTATTTATCACCCACTGTAACATTCTATTTGGTTTGTCATAATATCTCCATGAATACTAATTTCAGGGAGTTTTGATAAGGTGTTAATTTTTTTTTCTTTTATTTTCATGCTGGTAGTGAGTTTTCATTACTCACTAGAATTTTAACTTCCATTTAGTGTCCTATCACTTAACATTAAATAACTTAATAGTTGTAGTAGAAATGGAAACAGAGCTATTGTTCTGACCTCAGACCAGCAAAGTACTAAATCTGTGCCCTTGAACCAGTCCACATTGAAGCAGTGTTGGGAACCCTGAGAGCGCTGCTCTCGGTACCCCACTCTACATGATGGCCATTCAATTGGCCTGGAGTATGGCATAAGCTTTGGAACTTCTAAAAGATCTTCAGGATATTCCAATATGCAAATAAGTTTGAGAAACAGTAAAATTTGCTATGAGATTGAATGAGGGCAAATGTTTCTTATTATCTTGTGTTTACATATGTCACATTTATATAGAAAAGAATGTAAAGTGACATTGTAAAGATGATAGAGTAGGGAAAGGATGGCAATGGTTGAATGAATTTTTAAATGAAGTTGGTATAAATTTTTTAATCAAGGTAGGTTGTTGACTTCATCCTAATTTTGAACATCTCAATACAAATGCAGATGGTCACTTTTAATGTGTCATTAGAAAATGCCTTTCTAAAGTCAATCTAAATTAATCTTTTAAAAATATTGAAACTTCTTGGGAAGATGTTTAGTGAGTTTCTTTTTGTTCATCCATTTGCTGAGAGTTTACCTGTTTTTTTTTTCTCTTTGCCCCCCTCCTCTGTGGAAATTCCTCTCTCCAGTAAAGGCTACACTGACGTTGTGCGGATCCCTGAAGGGGCAACCCACATAAAAGTCCGACAATTCAAAGCCAAAGACCAGACTAGATTCACTGCCTACTTAGCCCTGAAGAAGAAAAATGGCGAGTACCTAATCAATGGAAAGTACATGATCTCCACTTCCGAGACAATCATCGACATCAATGGAACAGTCATGAACTACAGTGGTTGGAGCCAGAGGGATGATTTCTTGCATGGTATGGGCTACTCAGCCACAAAGGAGATCCTAATAGTGCAGATTCTTGCAACAGACCCAACAAAAGCTTTAGATGTCCGCTATAGTTTTTTTGTTCCCAAGAAGCCTACTCAAAAAGTAAACTCTGTCACTAGCCACGGCAGCAATAAAGTGGGATCACACCTTCCACAGCTACAGTGGGTGACAGGCCCCTGGCTTGCCTGCTCTAGGACCTGTGACACGGGCTGGCACACCAGGACTGTGCAGTGCCAGGATGGAAACCGGAAGTTAGCCAAGGGATGTCTTCTCTCTCAGAGGCCTTCTGCATTTAAGCAATGTCTGCTGAAGAAATGTTAGCCTGTGGTATGCTCTTAGGCACAAAGATGACTGTAGGATCCATCACTGTGGTGAACATGAGGTCTACCCAACGCACAGAAAGTCATGCTTCAATGTCATTGTCACCAGGAGTTGAATTATGGGCAGAATCTGCTCTCTGTGACCAAAAGAAGATATGCACTGCTTCATGTGACAATGGTAACCTTGGAATATAGGAAAAGTTTTTAGTTATTGAACATCCCCTGGACCTACAAGAATGGAAAACACACTGATGAATGTAGAATCAGGGGACGTTTGAAGATGGCAGAACAGTCTCCCCCTTGTCACCTACCTCTTACAGAATGTCTTCAAAGACATCGTAATCATTTTCACCCATGATGCACAGTAGCTTATTTTTACTGTTTGTAAATACCTTCTTCCTTGGTATGTCACTTTATATCACTTGGTTCTATTAAAATATATATACATATATAAATATATAAATATATATATATGTATGTATGTATATATATATATATATATATATATATATATATATATATATTTCTATAAAATATTGTTTGACCAAAGTAGGTCTGCAGCTATTTCAACTCTTTCCAGTTTCCAGAAAGAGCTGTGGATGTTTTACTGGAAATTAAGAACTTGCTGCTGTTTTAACAAGATTTAGTATGTTTTCTGAACACAGGAGATAAAACATATTCAAAAAACATTTTAACAGCAAGCATCTCTTGAGCAATTCTGAAAAGGAAAAGGATCTCATTGTATCTAGTGATTTAAATACACACATGAGTCCATTTACTTAAATCATTGAATGCCTGTATTTTTTTCAGGCAGCCAGCCAAATTTAATATATGATTAGGATGTAGAAGTAGTGTGTGTGTGTGTGTATGTGGTCAGCATTCAGGAGTCTAAAAATCAATTTTCCTCGTGTTGGAATTTAAAGGATAAAAACACATGTCATCCAGTTTTCAATTTAGATTTTCACAACTTCTTTCTCTTTCTACGGCTCTTATTTGATATCTCACAATGTGTAATGTACATGCAGAAACCACATCCCACACCCTCAACACTGGTATACCTCTTACCAGCAAGCCTTTAAAATGTGTTTGTTTTTGCTTGTTTGTTTGTTTTCTTGATGGGTTCCAAAACACCTGCAATGTTTTGTACTTCTTGTCAACCTGGTTTAATAGGAATATTAAAAGTCACTTGGAAATTAGTCATATCTAGAAGAGATCATTATCATTAATGTGGTCAATGCAAAAAAAAAAATAGTGTTTAACATGAATAAGGCTGTTTCCACACCATAGGCAATAATTTCTTAATATTTTAATATATTTCTACTTTACTAAAGATTTTTCCCAACTGGAAAGTATTTGGTTGTATCAGTAAGTGTTTGAGTGACAAAAATATCATGATTTCCAGGAAGTTTGTTGCTTTTAGTTCCATAGCCTGTGTAGGTAGGTTATAAGTTTGAACAGTTAGACATTGAAAATATTTTACAATCATGCATATAAAAGTCTTTTTTTAAATAAATACTGTAAACTGCATTCTCCCATTTCATAACTCAGAAAATCAAAGGTATTTATTTCACTGGTATTTCTTTCTTCTTTGTGAGATATCACAAAGTTAATTAATTGTTTTATATAAAATTTTATAATAATCGAACCAAATGTGCCTATTGTTAAAAAATTTGCATATAAGAATTTTAGGGAATTGTTGGAGTTTCATTAAACTTTTGAGAGTTTATTTTTATTATAATATTTTATAACATAAAAGAATTACCCAGTTGATCTGGCTTTATCACATCTGTTTCAGTGGATCAGGAATATGGATATCTCATTCTTTGAAGTATTGTCTTTGGAAATTCCTTTTGTAAAACAGATAATGTTTTACAAAACAAATGACTATTCAGATTTTCACAGACTGAGTTTGCTTTAGAAATCGTAGTTTTATCTTAATAAATTATCATTTAAAAAAAATGGAGTCTATATAAGACTGATACATACATTTGATGGTGAGCACCAAATACAAGGGCAGGGACAAAAGCCAGTCAAATGGGTAAGAAAAAAATTTAAAATCTCATTAATTCAAAGATACTTTATAGTTTTAATATTTTTCCTAATTTAAAAAATAATTTTAATCAACTAACTCAAATATCACAAGATTCATTTTTATATTTTGTGATTCTACTTCCAACAACATTAAAAAAATTAAAGAGTACACAAGGCTGTCTCCTACTCTTCTTTACTGTATTCATAGATTTTTAATAGGATTTATCCATGATTCATTCTTCCCCCAAATAATGAAGTTTTACACTTCTCTTTGAAAAAAATCTTAATAGGGTTAAAACAAATAAACCACTATTCCATGTTTATAAGGAGCTTCTTTATCTTTTTTTAAAAAAATAAGTTTTAATAGATTGACTGAGGAATGTATGTCTAAACTCCTGAGAAACATGATACAGACTGGAACCTGAAATTCATATGTGGAGTGTTCAGACTAATGAACAAAGGAAAAAGTACTTTTCAACTCCATCTAATTCAGTCCAGTTTGATATTGTACTGTCTTACCTTTCCATTGTTGCATCTTGAATTTTTTTAAAAAAGTATAGGATTCAGGATGTTAAAAAAGAAGAAGAAGAAAATGTATAGTTTGTTTGAAAAATGCTCAGGTTTATAAGAATCTAATCTCACTTATATCACTAAATGCTTCAGCATAAGTTTCATTAGATACAAAGGGAGCCCAGAAGAAAATAACATATATTTGTTCTAGATCATAAAAGATCTAATTAATCCTTGACTTTTTGTTTTGAAGTATAACATTGGTATAATTTATTTGACAAATTCAACTCCCTTTGCCTTCCTGTGGAAACAGTTTTATCCCATAAAGTAAGAATTAAGGGATGAATCACAAATTTTTAAAAAAAAAGTTGCAGCACTGAAAAAATAAGTAATTTATTGTTTTTGCAACTGGTATGTGAATTTGTGTGATAAAATTATTTATTCTTATTTAACAAAAGTATGTGCAAATTCTTCTATATTTAAAATGTTTTGCTGTTGTCCTGCTTTTTAATTTATGCTTCTTGTTTGTGTATAAAGTACACTTTGTGAGTTTACATGATATACAGCACTGGTTGCTTTTGTATTTTTTTTTTTTTTACAGAAAGCTTTCTGCATGAAATAGACTTATGTGTATGTGTATATATTCTTTATTCACCCTTACTTTGACACTATCACTTTTCATTGTAAGGAAAATTTTAATCTTTCATGACTAGAGGTGTTCATTACCTGTAGCTTTGTTCATAAGTCTTTCATATCCCATAAAACTCTTTTTTTCCAAGTCACAGACAAGAAAAATGCTTATTCAGTCAAATAAGGTGCAAGTTCCAAACTCGAATACAATACATAGCTGGGAGCTTCCCATAGAAACTATGACAACAACAAGACAGACTCGTTCACATCACTGATGAACATGGATGAGGAGTTATTGGTGCATGATCTGAAAGTTGCGCATGCACACCTCTGAGAGACATGAAAAAATGATAATGAAACCAGAAATCATCTTTTGATGATTTAGATTTTTGATGTTAGAGATATTTCCCAAAATCAGTGAGTTAATATCCAGTGTCTGTAGGATTCCATACATGAACACGAATTGGATTTGTGTGGTTTAGATGCTGGTAGTCCTGTTTCTTCAAATGGGGCTATCCATTGACTGAATGTGAGTGACATTTTGTGATTACCATTCAGTCACAGAGCATGGTGATTGTACCTGGGATAGGCAGACACCATTGCTAAGACCAGCTTGTCCCTGACTGTGACTTCAGTCCGATCCCAGGAATAAGGCAAAGCACCGTTACACTCACTGACCATATCCGGGGTCAATCTCTGGTTCTGATGCTTCCCTGCAAACTCCTTCCTTGCAAACAAGGTCTCTGTAACAGTGTAGGTGAGGACATCAACTAGATTCAGGAGTCTATGACTTAGAGGTCACTATTTATAAAATAAGATCGAATTTAATAATAGATGAATTTTACTAGGAGTCAGGTTGAATGTGAAATCTCATTGCATGATGGGTAACAGTACTGATTCCTTTATAACTAAACTTGAGGTCACACAAATACCCTACATTTTTAACATTTCAAAGCACAAAATAAATGAAATAACCCTGAGGAAAGAAGTGGACATCTAGAGCTATAAAAGAACCAAATCCAAGGTGCTTTATCACTTAGGTACACCAAAAAGGAACTTGTATGTTTTCTCTATTATTTGTTTTTTCATTTGTCAGAAACATATAGTTTTAGATCAATTTATAAAACTAAAATTGTTCCCAATAGCCCTCTGTTAGCATGAATTATAGAAAGAACATATTGAATTATATCACCATGAAACACATACTTTCTATCAATTAAATATAGGAACATATTGAAACATGAAACCACGCACTAGTCAACCAAAAAATGGGAATACAGATGGTGTTTGGATCAGCAAAGCATTTAATCAAGCAAATGTCTGGTGACTTGGTATGATTTTAGTGCAGGTTTTGTGGGGAAAATAAAGGAATATGTTGTTAAATGTTGTTGGTTTTGTAAGAGAGTAAGATTTTAGCATACACAGTAGCTGTCTCAGTTAATTGCACCTTACCAATATACTAGCACTTTAGCAATAATTTTGCTGTCTCTAATCCTTATTCTGTGGCTCCATTAACTACTTGTGAGCTGTGTAGGTCAAATGAAAAGATAAATAAAAATCCATGTTCTAAGGCACTGCCACATTAGCAACCCATGGTACAACACTGTGAGGAAAAACTCATTTATAAATAAAACAGGGAATTGTTTTTCTTAAATTTTTCTTTGGCACATCTAATGAAGAATTTTAACTCTTTTTGAGGTGCTAACATTTTCCCTAATCAGCTATCAAATGTGCTATATCGTTTTGAAAAATTTTTTATTGGTGCATTATAATTATACATAGTGTAATTCATTGTTACGTATACTTATATTCACACCACAGAATCTGGTCAGTTTCATTCCCTACAACCCTCCTTGTGCCTCTCTTCATCAATCCCCCTATTCCCCTTCTTCTATTCTCCTGGTTTCCTTTCTATTTCTAAGTTATTATTTTTTTCTAACATGAGTCTATAATTTCCAAGAAAGGCCTCCAAGCTTTTTTGTCAAGTTTGAGCATCATTTAATACTGAACGTTAAATAAATAAGCACATTCAATGGTTATTTTTTGACCAACCATGGTCAATAGCATAGACCCTCTGTACCTCTGAGGATGTTTAAATTCAAAACTTGAAGAATGTCAGGCCAGATTCATGAGTAGATGAATCATGTTTTACACATTCCATACAAATTTCCATGTATATTTGGCCTAACATTTTTTAAACTTCTCAATATTTTATGACCACACTAAATATTTAGTGACCATATCTTAGCCTTTTAACAACTCAATCTAC